AGTGTACAACTTCTAACACTCCACTCTGAACTTGATGTCTCAAAAAATGATACTTGGTCTCAATATGCTTACTTCTCCCATGCAACACTGGATTTCTGGCAAGATTGATTGCAGACTTGTTGTCAATCATCAACTTTAGAGGTTTGTCTACTTTAATCTTCAGATCCTGCAACAGATTCAGAATCCACACAGCTTGGCATGCAGTAACAGCACCTGCAATGTATTCAGCTTCACATGTTGATAACGCCACAACAGGTTGCTTCTTGGAACACCAAGAAATGGGACCTCCCAGAAATTTGAACAAGTACCCAGATGTACTTCTTCTGTCAACTCTGTCTCCACACCAATCAAAGTCTGAATAACTCAGAAGTTCTGACTCATTATTTCCTCCAGAGGGAAATAACACTCCATACTTCAGAGTTCCTTTGATATACCTCAGAATCCTGACAGCAGCTTGGTAATGGGACCACTTAGGTTTACTCATGAACCTACTAACCATCCCAACTGAGTAGCAAATATCAGATCTGGTATTGCACAGATACCTCAGAGAACCAACCAACTGTTTGAAGGTTGTAGCGTCCACATCCTTTCCTTCAGAGTCTGAATCCAGTTTCTGATTTGTATCTGAAGGTGTGACAGCAATCTTACAATTCTTCAGTTCAAATCTCTTCAGAAGTTCTAAGTCATACTTGAGCTGATGAAAAATGATACCTTTCTCAGAATATCTGAACTCCATCCCTAGAAAGTATGTCATTTTGCCTAGATCAGTCATTTCAAATTCATTCATCAGAACTTTCTTGAACTTGGCTATCTCCTGTTCAGAACTTCCAGTCAATAGTATATCATCAACATATAAACATACCAGAGTCATATTGCCTTCAGAAGTATGCTGAACATAGACACCGTACTCCATCTCACATTTCTGAAAGCCTTGCTTCTTGAAAAATGAATCAATCTTTTGATTCCAAGCTCTGGGCGCTTGTTTCAATCCATATAGAGCTTTGTATAATCTGTACACCATCCCTTCCTGATTCTTTTTCACAAATCCAGGAGGTTGTGACACGTAAACTTCTTCTTCTAATGGACCATTCAGAAATGCAGATTTTACATCTAAATGCATCAGAGGCCAATTCCTGGTAGCAGCTATTGCAATCACCATTCTGATTGTTTCATGTCTTGCTACAGGTGCAAACACTTCAGAATAATCCAGCCCAGGTTTCTATAGAAATCCTCTGGCTACCAACCTTGCTTTATGTTTGCCAATTGAACCATCTGGCTTTAACTTCTGCTTGAAAACCCATCTGACGTTGATGGCTTTCTTGTCTTTTGGAAGTTCTGTCAGCTTCCAAGTCTTGTTTCTCTCTATAGCATCAAGTTCTTCTTTCATGGCCTTCAGCCAGAGCTTCTGCTTAAGAGCCTCTTCTGTACTCATGGGTTCAGAGTCTACCATCATGGCACACTGAATAACTTCTCATTCAGAGTCTACTTCAGTGTCTTGCAGCATGTCAAATTCTGCATATCTTCTGGGGACGTTTCTGATTCTTTGTGGTCTCTGAACTTGTTCAGAGTCTTGAGCTTCATAGTTTCTAGCTTCAGATGATTGACTTCTTCCAGAGCTTTGACCATCTTCAGAGTCTGGCATATTTCCAGAGTCTTGAACTTCAGAATTTCTAGCTTCAGAGGTTTGACTTCCTCCAGAGCCTTGGCCATCTTCAGAGTCTGAGTTGCCATCAGAGTCTGGATCATTAGAGTCACCTTCATCTTCTGAGTCTTCTCCAGAGTCAGAATCACTATCAGAGTCAGAATCAACGTCAGAATTTACTCCAACTTCAGAAATTCTTAACTCTGACCTTTCTTCAGAAGTTCTAACATCAGAATCAGATTGAGACTTATCCCAATTCCAAACTTCTGATTCCTTCACAATCACATCTCTGCTGAATTCAATTTTATTGGTTTATGGACAATAGAGCTTGTATGCACCTGTAATGTGGTACCCTATCAGAATCATCACTTTGCTTCTATCATCCAGCTTCTGTCTTCTGCCTTCTGGAACATGTTTATAGCAAACAGAACCAAACACCTTCAGATGACTAACACTTTGCTTATCTCCAGTCCACTTCTGTATTGGAACTATTTCCTTCAACTTCTTCGTAGGACATCTGTTGAGTACATACGTTGCAGTGGCAACAACTTCTCCCCAGAGCTTCTGAGGAAGCTTCTTCTCCTTTAGCATGCTTCTCACCATATCAAGCAAAGTACGGTTTCTTCTTTCAGCAAGACCATTGTGCTGAGGGGTATAAGGAGCAGTAACCTCATGCTCAATTCCATTCTCCTCACAGAACTTCTGGAACTCTTTGGAGTTATACTCACCTCCACCATCAGTTCTAAGAATTTTCAATTTCTGACCACTCTGATTCTCAGCCTTCATTCTGAACTTCTTGAATTCATCAAACACCTCATGTTTAAATTTAATAAGGGATACCCATGTCATTCTTGTGAATTCATCAACAAACAACACAAAGTATTTATTCCCTCCAATTGATGCTACTGGAAATGGACCACACACATCAGAATGTACAACTCCCAAGGCATGTTTTGCTCTTGGAGCAGCTTCTGACGCAAATGGCAGTCTTGGTTGTTTTCCTTCCATGCAAACTTTGCATGACTTTTCAGGCTTCTTAATTGCAGGAATTCCATGTACCAACTTCTTTGAATTCAGATGTTTTAAGCTTCTCAAATTCAAATGACCAAATCTTCTGTGCCACAGCTCACTCTCCTTCTCAGCACTTGTTGCACTAAGACATTCTGAGTCTGCAGTTCTGATATTCACCTTGAATGTTCTATTCCTTCCCTGTTCTGACTCCATAATCAACTTCTGATTGCAGTCATACAATTTCAGAAGATTATCCTTCATGGTAACTGAAAAACCTTTCTCAATTAATTGTCTCACACTCATCAGATTGCTTCTGATGCCAGGTACATACCACACGTTCTGAATCAATGCTGTTTTCCCATTGTTCAGAATCACTCTGACATTTCCCATACCTTCTGCATTAAGATATTTGTCATCAGCACATCTGATCTTTGTTCTCTTTTCAGAGTCAAAGTCAACCAACCATTTCTTGTTTCCAGTAAGATGATTTGAACAGCCAGTGTCCATATACCACCAGTCTATCAGATCCATATTATCAGATTCAGAAGTCATCAATAGCACAGATTCGTCATCAGAACTTCTGGCTATATTTGCTTCTTCTGATTTTCTCTCCTTGTTTGACCAACAATCTCTAGCAAAGTGACCAAACTTCTTACAACAGTAACATTGGATCTTCTTCTTGTCATACTTCTCTTTTCCCTTCTGAGCATTCTTTTGCCTATCAGAGATTGAGCTTTCTGACTTCTGACCACCATCAGATCTTCTCTTGACTTCTGACTGCTTCTGATACCTCCTATCAGAAGTTGCTTTTAGAGCCTGCTGCTCTACTTCCCTTTCAGAAGTTCTCTCAGTCAAACGCAACTCTTGCGCTTCTAAACTGCTCTGCAGCTCTTCAATTCTCATGGTACTCAGATCTTTGGAGTGTTCTATTGCTACCACAATGTAATCAAATTGAGAGGTAAGGGATCTCAATACCTTCTCCATGATTGTTTCTTCAGAAAGAGTTTCTCCACGCGCCTTCATCTCATTAGTGATCAGAATCACTCTGGAGATGTATTCAGAAACTTTCTCATTATTCTTCATGTTGAGATTCTCATATTGCTTTCTCAAGGACTGAAGCTTCACCTTCTTCACTGATGCGTCACCACCATAACATCTAACCAGTGTGTCCCATGCAGCCTTTGCTGTCGTTGAATCTGCAATCTTCTCAAACACATTTACATCAACACATTGATGAATAAAGAATAATGCTTTCTGATCCTTCTTCCTTACTTCCTTCTGCGCGTTTTTCTGTTCATCCGTTGCATCTGCTGCTACCGGAACATAACCATCAGTGACAAGATCTAAAACATCTTGAGCACCAAACAGTACACGCATTTGGATCATCCAACGATTTCAGTTTTTACCGTCAAATACTGGAAGCTTGGTGTTCATGTTGCCGTTTCCGTTCATCTTCACCTTGCACAATACACTCAGATTTCTCACACAGTGTTTCCCAACCCACAGAATAAAATTCTGATCAGATTTTGTTCAAGATTCAACACGAATCTAAGAATCAAAATCAAACACACAAGACCTCACATTCACTCGTGTTTCCCGTGTTTTCCAATGAATCCGAACCGGAGCTCTAGATACCAATTGTTGGTGCAAATGTGAATAAATGATGAACAAAGGAAATATTCTATTAAGAATGACGGCTACAAAAACATGATAAAAGTTACAATGATTGTCACCCTATTTATAAGCTAAAACTAGGGTTACTAGAATAAGATAAAATACTAAAATACCCTCTAACAAACTTAGGAGCTAACGAAAATAGTACAACTAAATAAATATGAATTACTATTAATATTCTAATAATTATCCACCATCAAATTTGTAAACTAAATATTTCATGTTAATTACTATTACCATCTACAAGAGTTATTAACTTTTTCAGAATAAAAGTTTTTATAATATAATTTTGACAATTTAATACAAAAAATTCCGAAAACATTACATGATAATCTTGTGAGAATGAGTGGACAGCAGTTAGTGTCAATTTAGATTTATTTTCAGTAGATAAAACCAGATGTAAGTTCTGTCAGTTTGACAAATAGTATCATATACTATTATTACACCAGTGGGTGGATATGGTAGAGTGCACGTGTCTTGTTCTGATTCGTAGATGTATGCTGAACAGATATCGCATAGGCAAAAGCCCGGTTTTGGATTCCACCATCCTGCAAACGCTACTGAGGTAAGTAACTCATAACTTTAATCAGTTTGGAATTATTATATTATTATTGTAATTGTAATTCCATAATGTCCATTCAATAACATGTTTTGAGATTTTGTTTGAGAAAACATGCCACTGGTTTTTGATGTCATTCCCCGGCAGAATATTCTGCATACTAAGTTATTTCTCAGTGTGAGATTAGATCTGTATTTACACAAACCACTTCTGTTTGGAATTTCGCATTTAGTTTTCACCTCATTCCCTAACCACGGTCATGAAAAGCTATGGCTCCATGGGACAAAAATTGAACCTGTTATGAAAATCAGACACGGTTTCTTCCCTGGTAAAATTCGAGTTGCTGTCGACGAGTATCAACAAGATGTGCCTGATGAAGACGATGATGTGTGTCCGGTTGAATGTGTGAGAGAGTTCAAGACTGACGAAGAGTTCTGCAAAATTTTAGAAAAGTTTAAAGGAACTGACACTCTGATTGTGGTGGATTTCTTCAGAACTTCCTGTGGAAGTTGCAGGTATATAGCACAGGGTTTTGCAAAGTTGTGCAAGAAATCTGGTAGCCATGATGCTCCTGTTATCTTTCTGAAGCATAATGTAAGTATTTTATAGGTTTAATTCCTCTATAGTTACATAGTTATTAGATTAAGCATGCTAAATTTTCTAGAGGCTCTTAATTATCACTTCTATCTCATCTCTTCTTGCAGGTAATTGATGAGTATGATGAAGAATCTGAGGTTGCCGATCGACTTCGAATCAGGGTATTTATTTATCTTTTATTGATGTCAAACTAGTATGTCTCTTCCATCAATCTCTTCTACATGTTTCTTGTCTAACTTCAAAAAAAAATTATGGTTAGTTCTTTCATTTGCATTGCATGATTACTCTCTTATACTACATGATTCAATTGGTTCATAATGCTGTTTTTCTTGTTTGGTTCTTTTGACATTTATCTCTCAAAACTGCCTATTTTATTGATAACAGTTCTACCTTCTCCATACATGTTAGTATTAATGTCTCATTTGTACCACAAACAACTGCTTGTGTATTGTATAATAATCAGTACTGTTCAGTACTCATGCTTTATTGTGCCTCGAATTTACAAGAAACTAATGCAACTAATGCAGGCAGTGCCTCTCTTCCACTTCTACAAAGATGGGAAACTGTTGGAAGCATTCCCAACCAGAGACAAAGAAAGGATTATTGCTGCCATACTCAAGTACTCATCTCTTGAAGCAGAAGATATTTTGAGCTAACTTCAAGCTCAAGGGAACACTGTCACAGCGCCATCACGACTGTTGTATGGACAAATCGGTCTTTGTGTGCAACAACATTCTGTATTTATACTTGGAATAAAATACTGTAGTCCTCCTCTCAGCCTGATTCACTTTGTTGGGAGGTATCCAGTGGAGTTTTCAATGTCCATCTCCACTACATTATAAAAGAAAGGGAGTAATACCCTTGAATGTTTGGGATACCAATAGATGAGCCTGATTGTGAAAGTGATTCAAACTCAATTGAGTACATGTAAATTTGATTTCATTTATGTTGAAAATAAAATAGATATTTTGATTAGCCTCTAATATATACTTCAATTTAGGTTCTGATTGTTTTATTTCTCCTCAAGTTGATGCAAGGAGGTTTGTAAAGGTTAATGGCACCTTTGTTAGTTTGAAGAGTGTTATTTCGCAGTATGGAGTTAAGAATTTCTCCAGATTTTTTGAGGAAACAAAGGACATGAATCTTACATATGTTCTTCTATTTATTCTCAACAGCTTCTAACATATTTTTAATTTAAAAAACAGATATTGAGAAGCACATATTACAAATCGATATTAAATAGTGTTGGTTACTATTTAAAAACAATTTTGTAATAACCTTTTGTTATTAAGAGCAACAAAGTAGTATGCTATTTTGTATTTTTTTTGAATTGTTTTTGCACATTTCTAATGTAATGCATATTTTATCTCCCAATAAAAACTCCACTTTAATAACCTTCACCTAATATTAACAAAAACTGAGTAAAAAATATTTCAATTTGATGTCTTTCAAGATGGTAAACAGTACATTGTAGAATTCGTCTAAATAAATTACAAGGATCACTAAAGAATTGAAAGAAAGATGGTTAATCATTCAGGATTCATCGAGCAAACCATAAAAAATCCGCCCAATTAACGCAGAAACTGTAAATAGACCTTAACTATGTTCAAGCCAAGAAACTAATTGCAGAGAAAAAAAATACTTCATGTCCTTTGTCTATATGAGTTCTCAAGGACCCGCACTTCTGGTCCATATATCAAGCGACAACGCTCAGTGAATGAACCAACCATCCTAGACGCCACCTCCTTAAAGAACATTGAGGCAACCTGTGTAACACATTAAAGAATATAAGATAAATCATGAACAGAAGTTTCCAAAACATTATCAGATCCTTCCTACCCTAGGTGGTTTTAGAAGTGTCCTAATGAAGTGAGTTGTGTAAGCAAATGTGGTATAAATGCAGGTGTATGTGAGGAAAGTAAAGCCAAAACACTGGTATGGCTACAGAGCAATATTTGATCTGCGAAAATAGCTTTTTTTTTCTTTAACATGCACAGAAAATGAAGGATATTAAAGGTTCAGTGCTAGAGAAAAAAAATAAGTGTAGGCAGAATAAAGATTGATTCTCAAAGCAAAAAGAATAAAGGCATTATAAAGCAAGTTGAGATGAAGAGATGAAGATATGAAACAAATGATAACAAAAGTATACCTGTGAGTAAAGTGGAGACTGAAACTTGAAGTCCACCAAAAAATAGAGATTGCAAGTTCCTGGAACCGGACCAGGACTAAATTCCCATAGGTTTATCAAATGGTCAAATAGGGTACTCTTTGACACTGTTGTCTGTAAAATAAATCCAAGACAGATCAATAAAAATAAATGAGTAAATTCAGGAAGCAGAAATGAAGACAAATACAACAAATGTAGGTCCATCTCAACAGTCAACCAGCTTAAGCCATGCACTGGATTGATAGTAAAGAACCTCAAACCCATATATATAACATTGAATCTTCTTAGAAAGGATCAAGGACACATCAGCACTCTAGCAATTATAAAGATACAACGAGAACAATGACCCGAAATGGAAGTGCTAAACTCTGTTGTGCAAATCATCATCTCATATGCAATGCTCATCTAAGCACCATGTACTATGGTGGTTTGGTTAGAGCATTTATGACTAGAGGAATTAACGATCCCATTTCCCTATATTATATAGTCAACTTTAATTAGGCTACAAGTTAACTGCAGATTGTTGGCTTGAAATTAGCTTCAAATTAACACCTAATCACTGCCTCAATTAGTCAGTTGATTGGCTGTGATCGTGCAATGCATAGGTAGGATATAATAGAGGGTGATTCATCTCTAGTGTGAAGTGTGAGAATGGGCATCTCAATGATGTTTATCTGGTTGTACAACAGAAGTTATGGTTTGCATAGTCACGAAATATAACATAAAAACAACCAGACAAACTAATCGTATAAAGGACCACTTCGAAACATAGAAAAGAACTTAAAGGACAAACCCATGAAAATGGTCAAACTTAAAAGACAGTAACTTTGTCCAAAGATAACTATTTTGCCTATTTCTGATTCATTCAGTCAGACAAACACAAGGCTACCAAAAAAAGGTATGCAGGATCAAATACCTTTATTCGGTTTGGCCTGTCCAATTCAACGTGAGAAACATAACTTTCAACTAGAAATTTGAACCCAATCTCCAACTCAGCATCAAATGATCCATCTGGATTGCGTTTAACTATCTCCGACCTTTGACACCACGGGACAAACCCATGATAAAAATCAACAGCCGCAACAACATCAAACAATTGCTCCGGAGAGTACCTAACGACCAATGAGTGTATTAGCTTATACATCCAGAAATAAAAACAATAACAAACTATAGACAATTTGCATCAACAATAATGCTTACAAAGCCCAGGGTAATGTAATGATTCATAAACACGTAGGGAATTCAAAGTAAGAGATTCATCATATAACTTGGCGCATAAAATGCAACTTAATGTTTGAAGCAATGTTAAACTATAACAAATTAAATTCCAATATAATAAAACTAGTTAGACGCTAAAAATTAGGAGATGAATAGAATCATGATGTTACCCCAAAACGCGCTTCTCCTCGTAAGTTTTGGAGAGAGCACTTTCTGCACCATCTCCACCAAATCCAATAAACCGCCTCGATTGGATAGAATTATAGCTGTAATTATCCAAATTTCTCAAAAAGGAGAAAAACCTAATGCCAGAGGAGGCTAAGGGCAAAGCCTGATGAGTGTCTCTGGAAACAATGGTTGAAAAGCATCGACATCCATCGAAATTCTCGCTGCTCTTGCAAGACCTAATCAATTGGTTGAATCCGCTTTTGCGTGTCGATAAGGATCGAAGAGCTTTCGAGGTCGACAAAAATGGCGGCATTGTCAACAATACCAAAAAAATGGGGATATCTAACCTAATTGATTTTTAAGAAGGTAGAATGAATGTGAAACCCTGAGGTAAGAGAAAACGTCGAATTAAAAGGAAAAGCGATATTGAATGGATTTGCAGATTAATCGGGTGGACAGTTGAAGTTGATAAGAGATTTATTTGTTGTGGCGTGGTTTGGGCTTTTTTAAAACGCGGTTATTTAAGTCATTTTTATTTTGTTCGCGTGAGTCACCAGCAAAACAGCACCTAACGTGAACCGCCAAGTAACGCCGGCCTTAGTTGACCGTACACGTGGATAATACCGCCGACATTACGGAAGCTGATTGTCCACGCCTACGATTCGTCTCTACGTCTCTCTTTTACAATTTTATTTCAATGCAATATAAATAGGTTTATGCAAGTAACTATGGATGGTCGTGCTTTTTATGCTCTTTGTAACAAAGTTGATGAAAATATATATTGAATATAGTGTGAAAGTAATATTTTTCTAGTATTTAATTTAGTTGGTTTTAAATATTTTTTAGGTTTAATGTATTTTTGGTTCTTTAATTTAATTTTAAATTTTAATTCAGTCTTTTATGTAATAAACATTCGTTTCAGGTCTCTTATTTATAATTTTGTTAGTCAATGTCATCCTTTCTATTAAAAGTTGTGAATTTCTGTTAGTTTTTACTATGAGGACAGTCCAACTGGGCTTCCTTAGGTGACATGGATTTATGCTAAGACATTTTGAATAAAAATTAAAGGAATTTTAAACATTTCATTTTAACCCATATAGTTTCATTTTGACTTCACTTGAGCTATGTGAGAAAACCCTAACAGAGTTATCATCTATCTTCATCTTCGTTCGCAAAGTTATCATCTATCTTCATCTTCGTTCGCAAAGGTATGTAATCAATCTTCATTGTTAAGTTTGTTTGTTTCATACATTTTCGTTCATCCTCATTTCTGATACTTTGTTCATCTCTCTATAGTTGTATTTCTCATTTAGTTACTTTATTTAGGTCATGGATAGTCGTTTTCAATGCATTGTTCATCATAAGGGTGAGTTTGTGGAATTCACGAAATTAGGTTATAATGGCTTAGAGGAAACTTGGGATGTTAATCGATTTGAAATCCACTTGTTGTATAAGAGCTTTCAAGGAAAGGTGGTTGATTGGGCCCATCTGCAGAAGAGAGAAAAGATCCCCTTTGAAGATCTTCTTCTTGATCTTTTCAAGAAAGCTGTCAGTTGGCTGACTCGAGGTTTGGCCTTCAGAGGTCGAAGTGCTATGGGTTTTGCCGGAGGAATTACTCTGCCTGCTCAAGAGGAGTCTGATGTACTGTCGAGGGTTAGAGACCTTCAATGCATCAAGTTCGGCTGTGGTAAGCTGGGCCTCCCCTTTGAGGGGCACTGCTTTAGTTTCCTTGAGAGCAGAAGCAGTAGGGGTATTAATCACCTCAACAGGGGTAGTTTCCTCGACAGGAGTTTCCTCAGGTTTCGCTTCTTTGTGTCTGTCCTCCTCTGCATCATCCTCTTCCATTTCATCTTCGGTGCCTCTGTCGCTGGACTCGTTCAACTCTGACTGACGCATGGTTTGGTCTTCGACGACATTATCGTCCCCTGCGTCCTTTTCATCTACAGTCATCGTTTGATCCAAAGGAGAACTATTCGTGTCAACCAAGTTTGTGTCCCCCTCCAAAGTATTGGCTTCATCATCTTCTACAATAGGATTAACCAAAGTATTATCCTCTTCGTGGTCAGATCCATCAGTTTGAGACTGTTGAGTTGTTGTCTTCGC